ACCCGTACCGTACCTCCTCCCCTACCCCCCCCACCCCCCCCTCCCACCCTACCCCCACCCCCCCACCCCCTCTTTCCTACAGGGATACAGCTTACCTCGCCATTTGCTGTCCGTGTGTATGGCCATGCAGGGCTCAGGGCATGATCCCTACTCGCTGTTTGACGCAGAGCGTGCTGTCCTCGTCGCCGCCCCGCCGTCGTTTGTCGTCTTTGGCCCGCCCGGTGCAGGAAAGTCAGAGCTGGCCGCTCGGCTAGCTGGTCAGTATGGCCTGGTTCACATCCAAATGGACTCGCTCATCACAGACGCCCTGGCTGCTGCTCGAGACGCCGCTCGAAAGACAGAGCGTGACGCCCGCAAGGCTGAGAAGGCTGCTCGCAAGGCTGCTCGCAAGGCCGCTCGCCGAGCACGCAGGCGGAAGAAGCACCGCACGGCGACCGAACCGGACGGAGAGGTCGATGGAAGCGCCGAAGATGGGGGCACAGAGACTGGCGTCGAGACTGGCGCTGAGACTGGCACAGAGACTGGCACAGAGACTGGCGCCGGGACCGGCGCCGAGCCTTTCGCAGCGACCGGAGCTGAGAGCGGCGCGGATGCTCCGGAAGAGTCGCCAATGACCGGCCTCAATGCCCGGGTTATGGACGCGCTGCTCTCTGGCGGCGCAGTGACTGCCGACGACGCGCTGCTGCTGCTGCGGAGAGCGTTGGCGGCGCCGACAGTTGCGTTTCGTGGATATGTGCTCGACGGCGTGCCGTCGTCCGAGGCCGAGCTGGCTGCTCTCGACTCGTGGGGCGTCCGTCCCGAGTACGTTGTTCGGCTGGAGACGCCACTGGCCGATGTTAAGCCGCGAATCGAGGGCATCAAGGTCGACCCGGTAACCGGCCACCGGTTCTCGGTCCTCCAGCTCAACCCGCCTAAGCCGCTGCCCAAAACTCTGGGCTCTCGGCGGAAGGACAAGCGGATGATGGAGCGGGTGGTCCGAACCAACCCACTCCTCCACCCTCCGGTCCGCACCATGCCTGGCGCGCCCGAGCGCGACGAGTATGACGAGAGGCCAGCCAGCGGCTTTCTCTCCGAGGGTGAGACTGGAAGCGGCGACGACGAGGAGTACGCAGACGACGACGGATACTATGACGACGAGTATGAAGAGGCCGCGTCGGCACTAGGCAGACGAGCGACGCCAGGCGCAGGCTTTGATGACGATTACGACGAGTCAATGGATACGGCGGCGGTGGCCGAGGCCGAAGCCGCAGGCAAGCTCACCGACCGCGTCCGCGAGCGACTGCTCGACGCACCCGAAGTCCTGGGCGTGGACGTGGCTGACTCGTACGAGTACTACGCATCGACCATGCTGCCTTGGATTGAGTCGTACATCGAGCCATACGCGGCTAAGAACCCCGACAAGCTGCTCAGGCTGGACGGTAGTCTGCAGCCGGCGGTCATCTTTGAGCACCTGGTCCAGGTTCTTGACCGTGTTCCGCTCGCTCCGGTTGTCACGCCTGTCAAGCTGGAGGTGCCGGACGACTTTGGCTCGTACGCTCGCCAGGACCAACTCGACATGCTGACTTCGCTCGACCTCGACGACGACGCGCCGCTCCGCACACTCTCACGGTGGGGTACGTACTGCCCCGTTGCGCTGCGCGAGGACAAGGCCATGATCGACCGCGTCATGGAGTTTCCGGTCTCGTACCGCAACAAGCTTTACTTTACCTCGTCGCGTCGGGCCCGGCACAAGTTCCTCCTTAACCCCAACAACTACCTCGATGCCCCTCCCGAGGTCTTTGGCCTCAAGATTGCCGTTCTCGGCCCGCCGCTCTCTGGTAAGTCGACTCAGGCGGCTCGGCTTGCCGACCATTATGCGCTCAAGCACATTTCAGTCGACGAGCTTGTCACGGCCGAGCTGGCAGAGGGTACCTCCAAGATGGCGACCAAGCTCCGCGAGACGCTGGCCAACGGCGGCACCGTTGCCCCAGACGTTTACGTCGAGCTCATTGCTCGCGCGCTCGGCAGGGCCACCTCGGAGACTCCGGATGTGCCCGAAGACGCTGCCTTGCCACCTGACGCCGGCCTAGACCCCGTCATCTCTGGTGACTTTGCCACACCACGCGGCGGGGACGAGGGCGAGGACGATGCCGACGAGTACGAGTACGATCGTGTGTCGCCCGACGACGACTACGACGACTACGAGGATGAGTATGGCGACGAGTACGGCGACGAGTACGGCGACGAGTACGGCGACGAGGCCGACGGCGAACGCAGCGAGTACGAAGATTATGAGGCGTACGAGTACGAGGACGAGTTTGGCATCGCCGCTGCCACTGCTAGCGGGCCTGGGGCGGCAAGCACCCAGGTCGAGGAGTCGACTGCCGTCTCTGCCGGCTGGGTTCTCGATGGCTTCCCGCAGACCGTGGAGCAGCTGGAAGCGCTGGTCGGGCGCGGCATTCTGCCAACCAACGTAATCGTTCTCGAGGCTGCTGGGCGTGACGACGAGTCGGACTCTGGCGAGGCTGCGCTATTTGAGCGGGCGACCCGGCTTGGAACGCACGTGGTGACCGGCGAGCTTGTGCCTCAATCACCGCGAACCAGTGCCCCCAACCGACACTAGACTCTGAGTCTGAGAGCGAGTCTGAGTTCTCGGACGCCATGCCGTTTTCGTTTGTCGCCGAGCCGATGGCGGTGCCAATCTCGCGCCGGAGTGAGGGCGGCGGACAGGACTGGGCCACCGGGCGGCTGCCCGAAGTTCTGGGGCTGGCGTCGCTCGAGGCGCAGCTCGAGTCGTTCCAGACGCGGCTGCCGGACGTGCTGGAGGCGCTGGACGAGCTCGAGCTGGACGATGAAGCCAGCCGACCGGTGGTAGAGACGGTCAACTGCGTCGACGGGCCAGACACGGTCTTTGGCTCGATCCTGCAGCTGGTGGATCCGTTTGTGGAAGTCCCGCGTGACGCGGCGTTTGAGGACTTTGTGCACCTCGACGAGTTTGGTCTGCGGTCCGAGCCTGGCTCCGACGCCGACTCGGAGTTGGGCTCAGTCGCGTCGCTTGCGGCCGGCTCGGACGCCGAGCCCGTCGAGTACGTCGACTATGGCGATACCGGGCGGTTCTGCCCGTGTGAGCTGGCCAAGAATGGCCAGCTTGCTCGCGGCTTTGACTCGCTGGCTCTCTCGTACCAGGACAAGCTCTACCTGTTTTCTGATGAGCGGTCGCTGGAAAACTTCCGGGCCAACCCGTCGTTGTACCTTCCGCATGTGGAGCGGCCGAAGATTCCACCGCCGCGGTTTGTGCTCGTCGGCCCCGAGGGTGCCGGCAAGACGACACTGGGGCGGGAGTTGGCGACTCAGTTTGGTCTTCCTGTCGTCTCACTTGTCGCCGTGGCGACCAAGGTCATCAACGAGCCAACCGAAGCCGTGGCCGACCTCAACAGGCGCTGGTCGACATTGTGCGTCCGCCCAAGGACTACTCGGACGACGAGTACGAGTACGGCGAGGGCCGGCCGGCGGGCGGGTACTCGGATGACGGCCAGTCTGGCGACGGCGAGTACGACGACGGCTACGAGTACGATGACGAGAAGCCAGCTCGCGGCGCGTCGCCTGCGCTGGACACTCTGCCGCTTGGAGGCCGCGGAATTTCGCCGCTGCCGCCGGTCCTCGGCGGACCGGACGAGCTTGGTGGCAGCTCCAAGGCCGGAAAGGAGAAGGTGGAAGTGACTGAGGCCGAGGTGGTGGCCACGCTGAGCGAGCTTGGTGCCGAGGTGATGACGCTGCTTTTGCGGCATGCGCTCAACTCAGACGATGCAGTGGGCGCAACCGGTTATGTGCTGGACGGCATGCCGCTGACGCTCGACGCGGCCGAGGCGCTGCTCAAGTGCGGGGCGCGGCCGGATGTGGTGCTGGCATGCGTGATCGAGGAGCGCGCGCTGCTCAAGCGCGCTTTCGAGCCGCCGGCGCCGCCGACGCCCAAGCCTGCGCGCGAGAGCGCCGGAGGCGATGGCTACGACGACGGCTACGGCGAGGACTACGACGACGAGTACGACGCCGAGGCGCGCCATGCTGAGGTTGTGGAAGAGGCGCGAGCGGCGTTCCTCACAAAGGCTGACGACGAGCTCAATGCCATGTTCGAGGTGCTCGACGAACTCAAGGCTGCCAACGTGCATGTGGAGGAGGTGGAGATGTCGCGCCGGGCCTCGGCACTGGTGGCGACAGCCAAACGGGTGCTGGCGCCTTTTACCGAGGCTCGCACCTCGCTGCTCGAGTCTGTACGGCCGGTGCGGCGGGCCGAGGCAAACCGGCTCCTCTCCGAGGGCCGACGTGCCCTCTCCAAGTTTGGCCTCTTTTGCCCAGTCAAGCTCATGGAGGACTCGTCGGTCCTGCTGCCCGGCCGCAAGCACCCTCTTGTCTACCGCGGGCATGTGTACTACTGCTCGTCGAGCGAGGCAGCGCGCAAGTTTATTGCGCACCCGGTCAAGTACGTCTCGCAGCCGCCTCCGCCGCTGATGCTGCCGACGACGTGGGCGCGGCCGCGGGTGGCCATCATCGGGCCGGACAAGTCGGGGCGATCGTATCTGGCAAAGCGGCTTGAGCGCGAGCTGGGCATGGTGCGGCTGTCGATGGGCGAGGTGCTGCGGCGGGTGCTCAAGCTGCGGTCGTCGCTGGCCGATGCGGTGCGCGCCAAGCTGGAGGCCGGCGAGGCAGTGCCGGACGCGTTGTGCGTGGATGCGCTCGCTGCAGTGGTGCACCAGCACCCCGCTGACACCTACGGATGGGTTCTCGACGGATTCCCCAGCTCGCGAGTGCAGATGGAGCTGATGGAGGCGGCCGGAGTCACGCCCGGCCTGCTCTTCTCACTCCACCTCGATGAGGAGACAGTGCTCGCGCGAACGGCCGAGGCGCGCAACGACCCCGGCCGGCCGCATGCGGCGTTTGACTCGCAGGCGGTGGTGTCGTCGCGGTACCAGGCTTTTGTGGCCGAGGTGGAGGCGTTGGAGTCGCACTACGCGCACACGTATCTCAACATGGTGGTCATGGATGGCTCGACGTCCAAGTGGGCGCTGTGGGACTCGCTGCGGTCGACGCTTGTCGCCAACGTGGCCCGGCGGCAGGCGTACTTGCAGGCGATGAAACTCGACCGGGCCGCACCCGCCGGTGGGCTCAACTTTACGGACTTTGACACTGGGACCGGGGCATGGGGCAACTATTGCGTGGTGTGCCTTGGCGACGCTGCCGAGCTGCGCGACATGGGCCTCGGCCCGGCAGCCTCTGAGTTTATTGCGTCGTACAAGGGCGAGTACTACAAGCACTGCACGGCGGCGCATCTCGAGGCCTTCATCAGCGACCCGGAAAAGTACCTGGCACACCCGCTGCCATCGCCGCTGCCCAAGGCGCTGAGCGCAGCCGAGGGCAGCGTGCTGAGCAACCAGCAGCTCGAGCTGCACGGCTTTTGCGCGGTTACGTACGCAGGCGGGCCCAAGGGCCTGGCTTACCTCCAGGCGCGGGCCGGCAAGGCCGGGCAAGGCTACACCGAAACCATCGTGCCGGGATCGCGGGAGTTTGCGGTCAAGTACGGCGACGCGTACTACGTGTTTGTCGACGAGGAGGCACGGACCAAGTTTATGCGTAAGCCGACGCTGTATGTCGACCTTGCGCTGCCGGCCAAGCTTCCGCCCGATGGCCCGCGATTCGACGAGCTCTCACAGAAGGAGCAGGCCCAGCTGCTGGGCAAGCTGCCGATGCTTGGCTTTATGGAGCAGCACCTTGGCCCGCTGCTCAACCAGGCCCTGGAGGCTGTGGGCGAGGCGAGACCGCTGTACCCCAAGCGGAGCGCGAGAGCGTCGGCCTTGCACTACCTCGCACTCACGCTGAGGGCGAACAACCCGAATGCGACTGAGTTTGTGCGCTCCAAGTACGCTGGCATGCTTGACGAGTTTGAGCGCGGCTGCGCCCTAACCTCGTATCTGGCAGCCCACCATCCTTACGCTGACTCGCCGGTGCCAGATGAGAGCACTGCTGATCTTGTTGGCGACGGGGTGAGCCACGCCGAACGACTTGCGGCGTATGACGCCCTTCTTGAGCAGGAGAAGTAAACTGCGTGTTAACGGCGGTGACGCGAGCGGTGCGCGCGGCGCGAGCGGCGCGAGCGATGTGAGCGGTGTGAGCGGCGAGGGCGGGACGAGCGACGGGGGCGACGCGAGACGCGTGAGCGGCGTGAGGCGCGTGAGCGATCGACGACAATGACATCGACTGGCGGCGGGGACCTCGTCCGCGGTGCAGGGATGCCAGACTCGAGAGCGTCGCGAATGCCGGGCGGCGGCCCGTCGTAGACGATGCCGCAGTGGGCGCAGCGCCAGGCGTCGAGCTCGTCATCCAGCTCTTTGCGCGGCCTGGCGGTCTGATAGGCACGGCCGTGGGCGTCAACCCGGTAGGCGGCCCAAAAGCTGCAGCGCGGGCAGTGCGGCTCGTCGTGCGGACGGAGGTAGATGTGCGGCCAGGGCGGCGGGAGTGACGGATGATCACGGCGGGAGACGCTGCGAGGCCAGTCGAGGATCCAGTCCTTCCAGCCGCGCTGCCGGGCTGGCTCGGAAATGGCCCTGCTTGGCAGCGGCAAGCGGACTGAGCGCGAGTAGTGATACGAGGCGCGGTTGAGGGCTCGAGTGCGGAGGGCGCCCGAGCCGTCGTCGCGGAAGAGCGAGGCGAAGCGGTGGTAGCCGTAGCGAGGGCGGAGGCCTGCGTGGGTAACAGACCGGCGGGCGCGCGACGAGTCCGATGAGCTTGCAGACGACGCACCGGATGATGAGCCCGAAGCATAGGCGCGCGAGGGCTTGGTATGCCACAGCTCAGCGTTGTGGTACATGAGCCGAGCCTGCGCGGCAGCAAAGATGCGCTCGAGCCGGGCAGCCTCACGCAACTCTGCAGCGTCGGCATCGGCGGCGGCCATTCGGGTCTCCAAGGCGCGGGTCTTGCGGGCGAGGTCCTCGCCTGAGCTTGAGCTCGACGGATCGACGTAGAACGGATTTGAGTCGGACGAGTCGGAGGGGACCGGGCGGTGGTGACGGGAGCGGCGGCGGCTCCAGGGACGGCGTTGCTTTGCCCAGGGCGGTTCGATGCGAAGGGAAGAGTTAAAGGCGACAAAGTCTGATCGGTAGACATCGACCTGTGCCCGTTCCGGAGACATGGCAGCGGAGCAGTCCGAGTCAGCCTCTGCAGAGGTGTAGGATGATGACGAGGAGGCAGTTGACGAGGCAGTGGGCATGCCACGGGTGTGGAGGGCATAGTCACGGTCGTATGGGTCGTAGGCCGAGTACGAGACCGAAGAGAGTGACTTGCGGGAGGATGTGCTTGGGATGGGGTAGTGGGAGCGTAGGCCCATTCGGTGGCGGGGCATAGTGTGCGGGGAGGGGAGGGGGGGAGGGGAGGAGTGGGAGGGGAGGGCGGTTGGGGAGAGGGGAGAGGGGAGAGGGGCGGGAGGGGGTGATGGGGGGGGGGGAGGGAGGGGTTGATGGTGATCAATGTGGT